TCGAAAACAAATTTAACTTTTTGCAATTTTTGAAATTCTAGAAGTTTGAATGACAATTGGTCGTTTATAATATTATTAAGTAAAACTATGTAGAGGACAGATAAATGGCTAACTATGTAGAGGACAGATAGATGGCGGGTTGGGGAGACTGTCGGTCGGAGAGAACGAATGGAGAGACGGACGGACGGACAAACGAACGGAGAGACGGGCGGATGAACGAATGGGTTCGCAGGCACAGACGGAGAAGCAAGTGGACATCCTGGATGTTTTGAAACAAAGTAATTTTCTAGTATCAAGGTCTTCGTAAGTAATAGGTTAAATAAGATAAATACGTGCGTCAGTTCATAACGAGTCCGAACACATAATGACTTTACAATACCGTAAAAATTAAATTGACATTTAGTGCTGTGTGAAAACTGCAGTGAATGTGTGACGTACTCCAGTGAAACAGAAATTTGTATCTGTAGACTACATAAATAGAAGTATGATGAAATTCTTTAAAAATTATTTTGGGTTTTCAATCTCATTAACATAGCGTAAGATATTGTCTACACTGCAAATCACGGCGCAAGAAATTACATTTTCACTTGTGTGCCGTCTTGGAAGCGTTAGCGCCTGCCCAACGTAACCCTCAGTACATCCATGTACAGCGGGTTGCCTCCCATTCGCAGGGCACAGGCGAAAGAGGTGAGGTGCAGGAGAAAGTTTAGCAACATCTTCTCGTTGAGACAATCGACAAATCCAGACAAGTGCTACAAAAGTGTTGACGCATTCATTTACATTACCGTTCCTAACGGTTTTTTACAGTTTTATGGTATATGTAGTACCCATTTTGCAGATGAAAATAATCGACCTTTTTACTAAGCTTAACAATGATTTCGGTTATTCCATATCATTTTCTGGAGTCCCCAAAATAATTTTCCCGTTTTTAGTAGATAAATATAATGATGAATATATACTACACTCCAGTTATAAAATCTATGTCTGGATAATGTATAGAAATTAATACAAATGTGCTATGTTTGCATGAATATAATATGATATTATTGCGAATATAAAACTCGCTTATAAAACTGCTTACGTATATAAAACTGATCATAATTTCGTTAAGTCTGACTATATAAACAATGTGGATATGGATACATTATCTTCTCGAATACGATGTCTAATTCTCTGCAATGTTGTTTGGGTAACAATTCCTTTGTTTTGTTGATAATTCTCTTCATCTCTAACGTTGTGTAAGAAATGCCTGTTATTCATAATACCGAATATCACAGAATAAATGTTTCACATGACTAGAGTAGGATGTGCGGGGTAAACGATGATAATTTTTTCTCAGTGATAATATGGTGGGGAATTTCATATAACCAAGTAACACTTATCCCCTGACTGATAGGCAACCCATCGGTCTTTGCTGTTTGGCGGGTGTCCAAACTAGGTTGGATTTTGTCAGGACGTGACCTTCACAACACCTAAACATGATGGGTTACTTCTCAACATCGGAAAAAATATTATGAGAATGGCTTCGATAAATGAAATTAGGAAAAAGTTAACATTTTTGACCTCCCCAACATATCCTAGATATTTCTAACATTTGTACTGCTGACCCCAGTGTGACCACCTGTTATGAATAACATGTATGTCGTAGACAAGACGAGTGAAAAGGAGACACTTATCAACCGAAGAAAGGTATGTTATGTACGCTCTACACCTCTCAAGCAACATTGTAGAGAATGAAATATCTTATTCAAGAAGATACAAATTTTTATCCATTTCGGTTATCTCAACGAAAATTTTATCAACTTCGTAAAAAGTATTATGTAGTATTATTAAAAGTGTTTAACATTTCTTCTATGACTCCTTTATTATGACTAACAGGCATTTCTTAGGCAAGAGGACAGAGCAAGTGATGCAACTAAATGAAAGTATTACCTCTCAAGTGTCATATCAGGGAGTAAGCTATCTCACTTGAGAAGAAAACGAATAATCCATTTGGATTGTATAGTCAAACTTAGTGCAACTGCGATCGGTTTTACCAGAGCCTTTCAACTCCCATATAAAGTGGTGGAAACCATTACAGTGGCGCGCCCTCCTGCAAAATACGAACTACTGCCAACGATATTTACAACGTGCGTAACTGTTGCGTGAGTTGGTGGGTGGAAGGGTTGGAACTTTCTTGAGAGCTTTCGTATATGTATATATTAGGAATAATTGAACATTTTAAGACACTTTTTGTAGTTCTTACAAATGTGCCAATTTGTATGTAGGACAGTTGGCGAGCCAAACCTGTACCCGGCGACACAAGTACACATCGTATAGTATCACCATCCAGCTTTGTCCCCGGTTTTGATGGAGAGTTGCAAGGCTCTAGGTTTTACCCCCGCAGTTTTGACCATTTCTTCGAAGTCTGTTGTGCAACGTGTGTGTGTTCGCGAGAAGCAAGCAAACGCATAATGTCACAAAAGATAGGATTGGTGCTCGAGCTTTCTTAAGAGCTTTCTTATATGTATATATTAGGAATAATTGAACATTATACGACACTTTTCGTATTTCTCACAACTTAGCCAATTTGTATGCGGGAAAGTTGGCGAGCCAAACCTGCAACTGCACCTGACCACCCACTAGTACACTTCGTGTAGTATCACCCTCCTTCTTTGTCCCCGGTTTTGAAGGAGCGTTGCGAGGCCATGGGTTTAGACCACTTCTTCTAAGGCGGATGCGCGCGGTTTGCAGTTCGAGCCGGTGCTGACGGCGGGCAACGAGGCGCTGGTGCACCACATGCTGCTGTACGAGTGCGACTGGTCGCTGGCCACGGCCGAGGAGCGGCAGGCGCACGAAGCGCACGCGGCGGCGCGCGGCCGGCCCTGCTACGCGCACGACATGCCGCCCGCGTGGGA